GGGGGGGCAGGTTTGCGCGTGTGCGAGATGGACCAAACAATTGGGACACATGGAAGCGGTGGGTGGGAGAGCTCCCGACCAGACAAAAAGTCTTGAATACTGAACAAAACATCATCTTACGCAAACTCTTTTCCAAAGCCCCGCCCCCCCCCAAAAAACTGAGTTGACCCAGCATCGCAAACAAATCTGGACGCAAACTGAACTTTGGCAGCCGACGCTTCCTTCGGTGCCAAAGCATGACGGGCAGTCAACTTGGAACAAAGCACGCTCGCTTAAATGGATCAAACTTGTCGCCGTCTACAAGGTATTTTGACGTTTGATCTTGAGGTGAGGACAGACCAATCGTATCAATTTGTGAAAACATCCAATATACGGAATGATATATCCCGATCGCTCGTGCTCGCGAGGGTCGGCGGCGCCCCGGAGCCTCTCCCGGCGGACTTGGGGCCTTTCTGGACTCCGGGTAGAATCGCGCTTTGGCTGGGTTTTCTTTGCCCCGCGTTCACGAAACGGACTCAGAGGCGACGTCATCCGGCGAGCGCGCCCGCGATCGTCCGAACGCAAAAGGAAGGGAAAAGCGGGGCCGCCCACCCGGGTGAAGTTCCGCCGCTTGGCCCGTCATGGCCGGCGCGGGGTCCTGCAGCTGGTAGGCGCCCACGGCGGTGCCGCTGCCGTCCACGCCGCCGGGGGTCACGTACGGCCCGTAGGTGGAGGCCGAATAATACTGGCCGTACTGGTTCTGGCCAAAGCCCGCGTATGGGGAATATTCCTGCAGAGAGAACAAGAAGTGGTAACGTGTGCGTGCGCTTCTTTGACATTCCCCGAAGCCCGCTTTTGCTGGTCTTCGGTGACCCCGCGCAGAAGGCGCTTTTTACGAGCGCTCCCGCTAAATCCGCGAGGCTTTCGAAACAAGAGCGTGCCACACAAACGCCCCAGTTGAATCCCTTTTGCTGCCAAACAGACAATCCGTCCCGCAGACGCAGCCAAATAGTCCCGACCAAGTCTGCGCGTCTCCGTTGTAAAGTCGTCGTATTATTTGATTTCCACGTCTGTAAAAAGACTTTTTTTTTTTCTTTCTTCTTAACTGCTATTGCAAATGTGCCTTTGAGGAAAAACAAAGCCTGAGCCGCTCCCCCCACCCTCCAGGGAGTGACCTGGCATCTGGTAGGGCGAGTAGGCCGTCTGTCCGGGCTGAGGCGTGGCGAAGCCGGGGCTGTAGCTGAGGCTCGTCTGGAGAGGAGACTGACTCTGGGCCAGGCCGCTCTCCGTCTTGATGCCTGGCATCCCTTTTGCTGCCAAACAGACAATCCGTCCCGCAGACGCAGCCAAATAGTCCCGACCAAGTCTGCTCGTCTCCGTTGTAAAGTCGTCGTATTATTTGATTTCCACGTCTGTAAAAAGACTTTTTTTTTTCTTTCTTCTTAACTGCTATTGCAAATGTGCCTTTGAGGAAAAACAAAGCCTGAGCCGCTCCGATGACTTGTGTAACATCTGCTGCGGCGCTGACGAAGGCTGAGGAAAGTTGCGTGGGAAAGTTCATCTTTTAAGATTATGTTGAAAGCAGAAAGAAGGGAGCCGTCGCTTTGCTTTTTATTTGGCTTTTCTACGGCTCTGATGCCTGGCAGCATCACGCCCAGGTCTAAATGCAATCGACAAATCATAGACCCCATGTCACGCCGTCGTGCGCCCGACGGACAAACGGGACGTCGTATTATTTGATTTCCACGTCTGTAAAAAGACTTTTTTTTTTCTTTCTTCTTAACTGCTATTGCAAATGTGCCTTTGAGGAAAAACAAAGCCTGAGCCGCTCCGATGACTTGTGTAACATCTGCTGCGGCGCTGACGAAGGCTGAGGAAAGTTGCGTGGGAAAGTTCATCTTTTAAGATTATGTTGAAAGCAGAAAGAAGGGAGCCGTCGCTTTGCTTTTTATTTGGCTTTTCTACGGCTCGACGCGATACGAAGCCGCTGTGGCGATTGAGCGGCGAATCCGCTACCTGCTGAGTTGCGGTGTAGTTGGCGGGACTGGACACAGAGGTGCTGCCGGGGGTGAGGC